TTTTTGAAAGAATCACCTGTGTATTTATACTAAAACAATCATTTGTCTCAGGCTTAGTGATTATTGGGGAATATTTACCTCGCTGCTCAAAGACAATCACTTCGATAATCACTTCGCCTTTGGCGATTAATAGTTAGATGTTCCATACATATTTATATTTTGAATCCTCCTTGTTTTACGAGTGTTGAAATTAATAGTCAGTGGCTAACAAACTTGTGGCCCTCGTTCCATGATCGAAAARAAATTCAGAAGTTGATTTTTGTGGAGCGAGGTGAAAACAGCACAGGAGAGAACTAATTCGTGGAACTGACTCTTCTCATATACGACACCACGAACGCGGGAATCACCGGTACTCCACCAGTGCTTCCTTTAGTGAACAGTTTTCGGCTATAATTCCTCAACTTTGGACTTCTAAAAAAGTACAATAAAGGATTAATAGTGGAGTTCATTAGAATCACTGTTAAAGTAAACTGTTTGGCAACGTCTTGTGCTAGGAGATTACTCTTGTCAAGTCTCATCTTCGCTGCGAGCAGGATATGCGGAAGAAAGCTGAAAGCCAGAGACATGATTACCATAGAAATAGTTATCAAGGAACGTCTTTCGAGTTTATTTTCTTTGTTACGGCCGATGGACGATTGTTCATTTTTAATTCTGAGTGCATGTTTTCGTGAAATGCGATGAAGTTTGGCGTAGATAGCGATTATGAAGATGCAGAGTAGTATCCCGTATGTGTAGGACAGGAAGCGAACCTCTTGGAAGAKAGGAGAGAGAAGATAAACTGTTGACGCCATCATAGTACTGATGATCCATAGGGACAGAATAGCGAGTCTCGTACGGGACAAGGTCATGATAGTAACATATCTCAAGGAATGAACAATGGCTATGTATCTATCATAGGTTATAAGACCGAGACACGTGATGCTAGCAGTAATCGTCAAGAAAGCTACAGTATGGAAAAAAATGCTAGAAGTATCGTAACAAGGTTTTGTATTGTGCTGAATAGCCCTTAAAAGGTAATTAACATGACTTGGTTGGGCAATCAGCCCTGTTAATAAATCAGAAACAGAAAGAGTAGCTATAAGAAGATTAGCCGGAACTCGCAATTGTCGGTAGACAAACACGGTGAGTATCACTATAAGGTTTCCCAGGACGGTCAGGAATGGTAAAATGATGTTGATGCATAGAAGAAAGATTGCAAGGCCATAATAGTGGTCTACAAAGTTAGTAACACTTCGGACATCCAGTAAATGTACCGTCTGATAGTAGTCGCTAATGGCTGTTGAACAGTTGACTCGACTCGTATTGTAAATCATCTCAAACTACATGTCCCGAAACACTCCCAAAAACGATTTTTTTGGTTTTTGTTTTTTTGAAATTTTGTGTCCAAGTCAATACGAACAGTACTTGCCAGCTTTAACAAGTTCTTTTTAGTTCATTCTTTAAAACCGTCGAGATGATTAGTTCGTATGTCACCTAGCTCGATGATGTTGAAACAAAACCTGCACTAGATCTTCTTTGAAGGAGAAGACTATAATAAGCGACTAGTTTTCACAAGCCATTCTTGGACCCGTTAAATTAACTCAAGCTCACTTATGTTTTAAGCATCATTTTTCACAGCTTCAACGACAATTCAAAAGGCTTTTATCGCTATTGTATATGGTCGCTTTAATGCTTATCTGCTTCAAGCAAGTTTCATTTGCAGTTGCTGTTAAAACTGTCTAATCCTTAGTTCTCGTTGCATTCTACGCAGACGATCTGAGAGCTGTTTTCGCATGACTGTGAAAACGTCGGTGACGTATCCGAGGGACTCTATGTACGTAAGAGTTAGCTAGAGTTAATTACCTCGAACGTCGGCAATAAGCCCGCCATATGTATATGCTTATTGCCGACGTTCGAGGTAATTAAGTATTTTTTATTTATCAATTAATTGTGAAGGTTTTCTATCAAATGTTTATATATTTGACTTAAAAATAAGATAGATAAATAAACAAATAAATAAAGCTGAAAACTCTGCAGAAATGTCAAATGAAGGCCGTCCTGCTCTAAAACCAGTGTTGCTGCATTTACTAACACTGGAGTCAGAAGTGAGCACTTCACTAAATCCTTTTCGTTTTTACAGGTTCACCGACATTTAAAAGGAATTTTAAAATATCGCTGTTGGTCCCATGAGTATAGACTTACTGACGCTATAATAGAGCAAGAGAACTCGAAATTTTAAACTTAAAAAAACGATTAATATCGTAAAATCCCGGCTATAAGCCCACCAGTCTGGCAACGCAAAAATCCCCCATATGCCCCCTGTATATACGCTCATTAATCTGCTAATGCAAATATCCTTCGATCCAGTTATAAGCACCTCCCCCCCTGGTCATAAATCCTCTAGTCTGGTAGAGTGATTTTATTCAACCCGTGAAAAAATAGTATTCATAATAGTAAGCAATTATTCGCCGAAGGCGAAGTGATTATCGGGGAATATTTACCGACACGCGAAGTCTTCGAGCGGCGAGGTAAATATTCTCCATATTCACTGAGCCTGAGTTTTAGCATATACCACTTTGTGTACAGAGTAACTTATTTTTATATACAATAATTCAATAAAAACAAACAAACAGAAACTTTTAGTTTGCGTGACAAATCCACGCAAAACGTTTAGCAAAACTTTTAGGCCATACTTCGTTGCCTTTTTAGTATTGATAGGAATGGCATTTACTTTCATTTTTTCAATTTCCTCATCGGAAATTGTAGCAAAACGATTGCCGGCAGATGCCATTTTGTTGCCGACTCAATATTCCGAGATTCAGAGGTGAATATCGTACAATGTTCACCTCCAATTAACCAATGAACGCGTGCGTTCTTAGGAAGTACACAAGTTGCTAATTAGTAGTAGACTCTAAACCCATTGTTTTCTCTTTTTTTTTTTCTTCCTTATTTACTAGTACTAACTAAATAGTTATTTTCCTTTCCTTTCATAAATAAAACCACTCTATTGCAAATATCCTTCCAGTCATAAGCTACTCCCCTGATTATAAGCCAGCCAGTCTGTTAATGCAAATATCTTTCCCTTTCAAATGAGAGCGTATTTATAACAGGTAATTTGCAGTATTAGATCTTGTGTGTATTTGGTTTTTGAAGGCTGGTAATGAGATTCATGAGATTAATTCAGCTGATTGATACCAAGCAATAGAATACTCTCTGGTTGATAGCACATGACGGGCAGTGTTTGCCTGTCATTGTAGGCTGGTAATGAGATTCATGAGATTCATTCATCTGATTGATACCAAGCAATAGAATACTCTGGTTGGGAGCACATGACGGACAGTGTCTGCCTGTCATTGAATGAGGGGAGGTTCATCAGTAAATATTTGAGCTTTTACGGGGAGGGTCAAAAAGAAAGCTGTTTTCCTTGGAGGATCATGAATTTCTTACTGTGTGAAAGGGGAGGGCTACAACAATATTTAAAAAGTTTACTACGAATACCCCGGCCAACCACCCCACCCCCACCCCCTAATAAAAAGATTTACCTTGCCCAATGATTAATTAGAAAACCTATCGGTGATCGTAATAGATATCAAAAGCTTAAAAGGTTTTGTCCCAATCCCCCAGCCCTCCCCCAACACAAACGTACCTTCTTCAATCAATGATTAATGATCAATTAAATTTAGAAAACCGTCGGCGATCGGTAATAGATCCACGTATCAAAAACTTAGGGTTTAATTCATTTGAAGATCTCGGTTTTCCTGAATTACTATACTCAGTACCTTGACGGCCAAGTATAGAGGCTTTACACCAACAGGTGATGGCAGCCATGACAGGAGGCAGGGACAATGGGCCTTTGAAGCTTAGTAATCACGTGCTGATTAATTCACTGAGAGCAAATGAATGAACATCTTGATTCCCATGGGTGAAATATACTGGTGAGCAAACAAATTTTCTACAACCTGTTTCGGGAGTTCGTAATAAAACTGCATTTCGTAACACACTGGTTGCACATCGTTTCATTCAGTTCTTTACAAGTTGCTAAAAAGAATCACCAATTTAAAATAAAATGAAAAATTTTGCTCACCAGTACAGACACATGACCGTTAACTGCAAAGGGCCTATTGAATACGGCCTAATCTGATTAATGTGCGAAAGAATTCAGTTTCTCAGGGGACAAATAGTCTATTGCTTTGCCTCTAGTCCGATGGCTGCTGCCATCATGTGATGGTTACCTACAGAATATTGCGTAAGTCCGACCATGTTCAATGTCCAAAAAAAAAAAAACTGTCTGGGGTAGAGTAAATTGACGTTTGTCTCCCCTACTGGGGAGACAATTCGATGTAGATTACTGAGCCCAAGTTGACGGCTCACGACTGGGTTGCAGTTGGATAAATTATCGAAAACATGCAAGTACTGGTCGTGGATTTGGATGCTGAATCACGTAAAACACGACATTCAATACGATGATCGAATTTTGGCGGGAATTGTACGCTATACTTTTCAGACCTTTGTAATCTTATTGTCGAAACCTGTGTACGACATATGTCGATATCATTGGTCAGTTCATAAAACTGTTTGGGTCTAAGTTTCTTTGATCTGTCGTTTCAAAACCAACAACGGTTTTAATTCTAACTTTCAGTTATTTGAAGAAAATGTCTTCTATATAAAGAGTTTAGACAATTCTGACAAACTTCAAGAAGGGCTCACATTTGCTAAGTAAATAAGAATTCTTCAAACAAAGCCAACATGCCAGCTCTAAATGCGGTGATTCAAATATTATGAAATATTTCATTTCTTGTTACAATGCCGGACTTAACCTCGAGCCAGCCCGCACCGCTCGGAACGAGTTACATGATTGGATTGGTCATCCAAACAATAGCACTAAACCTAACCTTACAAAAGCGGTACTGTACTTAGGGAGCAATGAAAATCCAGCTTTCGAGCGGTACTGGATTACTCTTTACATTTGGCGAAATGTTTTGCTTATATCAGACCACGTGTCATTCCCTAGAGTATCGTTCCTTTGTTTGATGGTTGCAGACGAGAAGGCAAATGAATCTGTATACAATTCAAGTAATAAAGAATTGGCTTATTCTCAAGAGAATGACATGTGGTCTGAAATGGGAAAACATTGCGCACAAGCTGAAGAGGTTTATTGAAATATTTTTAATTGTGAAGTCAACTTGTCAAGCTGTCGAAAAAGTCATCTAGTGTGTGCGACACTTTTTCATTTTGTAAAATAATTTTCCATTCTTTCAATTCTTTATCACTAGCTGCAGCTGCTTATTTGGACGAATTAATTGAGCTCTTTAGCCCACTCTGGTATTGAATTGATATTAGAAGTACGTGGGATACATTCGAAAGAGAATAACGCTTTCTTTTGATACATTTATAATCAGCTGAAGATCCATTGGATTTTTTGTTGTTGTTCTTTGATTTTCTTTCCTTGGTTATAAACTGTAGAATTAAGGAAAGCAAAGAACTTAGAAAGCAGAAAAGAAAGAGAGAAAATAATAATAATAAAGCGAAAAACATGAATGGCGAAAGGAAAGAAAAAAGGATGAAGAAAATAAAAATTGAAACTCTTAAAAACCATGCATGCAGGATAAGTGTCACTCGGGACAAGGAAACGTTACCATAGTAACAACGAAATGTTCGACAAGACCCTGATTATCATCTGACATTTCTTTTTTTTCGGTATCTCCAATTTGTTCTCTACAAAGAAGATCCTTTCAAGCTCATTTCCAAAATAGAAATCCGATTATGATGGGCTTTGAATAACGTGTGTTATACCAAATGATGTGTTGTCAGTTTGGAAAAAAAATAATCGCTGCAAGATAATGAATATAAATGAGGATTCGAATTAAGTGACTGTCTTTATTCCTGTATCACGAGACCATCGCGCGAGAGACATAAGAGTGGAACCAGCTTCGTTGCCCATAGCTGCTACCGTACGTGCAGGGAGTCATCAAGAACGTTGAAACAGTGACCTTTGAGAAAGAAACCCGATAGTCTGAACCGCGTTATTCTGCATTTCTATACCCCTGTAAACAATCTGAAGACACGTACCACATTCACTGAAGACGGGAGTCGACGAGCTCCAAGCTTTTCTGATCATCAATTTAGCGTATTTTCTACAAACGCTAAGGATTATACAATCAAGTTATTGCAATTAACCCTACAATTTTAAGTCGACCAAGAAGCGATTTACTAGCTTCAAGTTCTGTCAAGTAGCTACGAGTTAAGAATTCAAGAGGCAAAAAAAATAATACACTGTACAAGAACAGATTGACCATGGGATGTTCTAGCTCTATAGATGTCAATCCTGCACATCGAAAAGCTCATATTGACATTTTCAAAATGGCCAAGAGCTGTGAATTAAGTTATGAACAGAAATACTTGATACGAGAAACGTGGAAATTTCTCGAGGTCTCGAAGAGAGAAATTGGGATATCTGTTTACAAACGGTAGGTTTGGTGGTAAGAATAATGCGAATTTTTAAATCTAACTTGCTTCCTGAACTACCTGACAGTTTTGGGATTATTAAGATCTTCTTTTTCACTAATAATCCTACGAAACGCTTTTTCTAAGCAGCTCAAAAGAAAAGAAACGAATAGCAATACAAAACAGCATGCCGAAGACAAAGTCACTCGTGAATATTTTCGAGCTTTTCCAATATCGAGAAACACGCTAGAGAGAGATTTCTACATTCAGTACAAGTTTATCAATTTATAATACTGAAGCTTCCTTCATTTTAAATAATAATGTGCAGCTCGGAGAGGTAATTATAATATATGGTTTTGGTTGGAAGGCGAGTGTCACCATTCGGGCAATCTCACCAGTTCATTTACTTCCTCATTGAACATTTCAATACCGGATCTATTTTCAATTTTCACGGGTGGAGAAAATTCAACTTCTCAATGATTTTCAACCATTTAGTGCCGGCAATGCTTCAAGATTTTTTGGATAATCGTTCCTTATGCAAATAGTCGACGGATTTGTTCTAATTTGTCACACTTTGTATTTACTTTACAAGCCTTAAAGTAAAAATGGATTTACTCGAGGTAAAAATTAGCGAAATTGCTAGTATTATAGATTTCGACAATAAAAAGGACTTGAATATGTGATATTTATCAAATGTGCCGAAAGTCCCGAAAGTGTTATTGATAAGTGTTTGTCTAGAATACTCCATTGATTGTATATGTACATTGATATAAGCTTAATAATAAATCCTGGATGGCAATTTATCATACATGATTTGGGTCGACAATAGGATACGATTTCCCAATCCGTTATTGTATGATTTTTTTCGCATCCCTATTGACTTTAAATTGCGAAATTAGAAAGACTAGTAGGAATTTTGATTTTTTAGTTTTTGGAGAAAATGTTGCTACAGAAAAATAAATACAATTATTGATAAATGAATATCGAAAAACTGTTCATGTCTAAGATAAAATCCCGACAATTAGAACTGAGTCTCCGAGACTGGTTATGCGGAACAGTTGATATAGTTTTTTCTATATATTTTTTCCACTCTTCCACGTCAGGTGTTTTCAAGCGTACCTGATAATGACATCGGAAGATGCCGAAATATTTTATTTTTTGTTCAATGTGACACTGGTTCCAAATTAAGGTCGAGGGCTCCTTTTTGATATCCAGAATTGCTGAAACACTGCAAGGAATCAGTCTAGTTCCATAACAGTTGTTTTAACAATATAGAAAGAGGATATTACACGTTGGCTTGAAGATATGAAGTTTGTCTTTGAGTGGTGAAAGCAGCGAACAAGTGAAATATTTTTCAACACGAGAAGATAAACTTCATACGTGTAATTTTCTTTTTATTGTATAGACACTTTTAACAAACAAAACTGCCTTGTTGAACGCGTGTTAAAAAGGGCGGGAAAACATTAGAAAAGACGTAATCGATGTTTTCAGGTGTGAGAATATGGAAAATATGCCACTGAGGTCCCGGATGTAGTTCGTATGAAAAATACGAGGGGCGTATTTCCCAATAAAACACTGATGTCGATATAGTAATTATTATCAGGGGATGCGAAAAGAGCTTATAAAACATCCCCAAGATTGGAATATTGAGTGTTTGGTGTTTTTAATGTTATTAAAACCAGAAAAAGAGCTTGTCGACTATTAGCATCGATCTCAGCAGGCATTCGTCGTCTGGACCATCTAGGGGACTGTGTTTCATCTCATTATCCATCTCCTTTGATTGAAAACTGTCCTTTCAATAAAGCAAGTAATTTAGTAAGTTTTTTCATCTTTTCACGGTGTATAATTTACCTTYTTATCATTACTGTTCCATTAGAAACACCGACGCAGCTCACACTAGTTTTTAGCTAGTTATATCTTCATACAATAAAGGAGCCTGTAAAGCACCTTTGGATATGAAAAGGACGCTATATAAATCCTTAAGTAATGACCAATTCCTCCTACTTTCTTTAAAATTGCTTTTTGCTGATAAATTAGAAACCAAAGATAATGGGATGAGATTTAAAAAAAATTAAAGAAATGCACATTTGACTTTTAAATTTTACAAAATGTCTTTACTTTCATATTGTTTTTACTTATGCATTTTTAGATGTATTTAGGTCTCGCGAGAGCATATATTTTTAGTATATTCGGAGAAAACGAGCGCTTTCTTTTCTCATTAAAACGCTCTCTTGACTTTTCGAAAACGTGCTAAAATGCACGCATGCGTAGAATGTAGAATGTTAGTTTATTGTTAGTTTCGAGTAAATCTCGTACCCAGAGCCCTTATTTCTTACTGCGCATGCTCGACGAAATAATTGGGCTCTGGAAAACTCCAATATATAAAAGCCCAATTATTTCGTCGAGCATGCGCAGTAAGAAATAAGGGCTCTGGGTACGAGATTGGTTTCGAGTGAAATAAGTTAATGCTGAAGGTCAGTTATCAGTAAAGGATTTCTTAGGCAAGACAATGTGATCGAGTGCAAGCTTGGGAACTAGGCAACCGATTCAAACAGTGATGTTCCTTTGATCATCCATCAAAGATTGAAGAAATTCAAAAAGAGACAAATAGACAGACAGACAATCAGAGAAGCGGACAAATAGACAGACAGACAAACTAAAACCATGTAGACAAAAAACAAACAAACAAACAGAGAAACAGAGAGACACAGACAGACAGACAGACAAACGGACAGACAGACAAACAAGCAAGCAGACGAACAGATCGACAAACAGAGAGACACAGACAGACAGACAAAGAGACAAACTAAAAGCTGAAAAAACAATAAAACAAACAAAATAAACCAATAATCAATTAAACCGAATAAACAAACCGATTCTACCAATCAAAATATTTTTCGTGCTCAAGCTTTATTTTCCTCTGTCACAAACGGCAAATATAAAATGTACAATTCCAGACATCTTCAAAACTAAATTAGACAAATACTATCAGTCTGTATTCTTAAGGACGGACAAATCTTCGCCATTTTGAAATACCGGAAAATACAAAGTGATACTCGATCCTACCAGACATTATAACTGCACTCATCTAATACCATGTTAAAAAATTCCCTTAAGTGTTCTCAACTTCTCTATTTTATTAAGGTCCGTCGTTGTTCAAAATGGAACCGCCATTCTTATCATTTCGCGCGGGGTTTTGTAAAGGTTATTCTAAAAATAGTATTTGTCTCAGCTAGTAGCTTTTCTTCAAAATATAGAAAAAACGTAGACGATTTATACGTTTAGCATAAAGTGACGGGTTTACGTTTTCCAATAATTTGAAATCTCGGTGTTTCACATATAGTGTCAACTACCAGCGAATTCGGTTGCTTTTAAAATGTACTTCTCATTGCAAAGCGTAACGTTTTATAAAAAGTCAACCTGACAGCTGTGCAGTATATAAATTTTCCAACAGATTCCCCCTCGGCATCCCATAATGTCTTAAATAATCAAGACAACAGAATTCAAGATGGCCGTCGTATCGGTAAAAAAACTCCTTTCCATAAAATTAACTAACAATTTGAATATGAGGTGGGCGTCGACACTAGAGAAAAACGTTTGCGCATGCGTGCATTCAGCACGTTTTCTAGGAATTTTGAAGAGTTTGAGTAAGAAAATAAATGTTTGTCTTCTCCATACAAAAAAGTTCGAGAGTATACTTTTGTAAGACCAAGAAACTGCATTAACAAATATGAAATATGAAAGAATTAGTCTTAAGTTTCAAGCATGGACATTTGTTTTGGCATTTTGTGAAGTCCTATTTATCAGGCATGTTTGAAAGTTAAATTTACATATGTTTTACTAATTTGCATACGGCGGATTCAGAGCATGCGCAGACGTTTTTCACTCGTGTCGTGGGCGTCCACAATTCCTATCCAGCTATTGTGATAAACGTCAATTCACCATTTTCGCACTAGCCATCACGTGGTACAAATCATATTGGATTGTGTTACGGTCATTAAAAGGTTCGGACATGGTTCTCGGATCTCGGTACGAATGTACTGACTTTTAAACAAATGTTTTACTTGATCTAAAGATGAGAATATGTGCACCGCGTAGCACTTATGAAATACATGAAGATATAGAAATATAGATAAGTTATAGTGCTTGGGAACGAGGTTATTCCGGGCGAAAGACCCTTGGAATTAGATACGGAAAAATTAATTTCCGACCTCGCTGGGAATCGATCCCTCGACCTTCGGAATTGTACTACCGATGCTCTACCAGCTGAGCTAGAGGTCAGACTGAGAGCAGRCCGGGGTGAAATAGATGTTAGGTCGTGGTAATTATGATGCAAAGATGAGAAAATGTGAGAAAATGACCTTACATCTATTTCATTTATTTTGTCTATTGTTGGAAAATGTCGACAAAAATAGCCTCGCGATTGACATTTTTTCCCATGTCGCATGGATATGAGTGTGTCGAGATAAACCTTATGGATATTAATCCTAGAAGGCAGACACTAAGGAAACTAGGAAATATGAACCTTGAATATTATTGAAAATTAGACGAGAAGAGAGATAACATACTTGGCATTTGATTTGAAATTATTCACGCATGGTAAGCAGATGAAACAAGAAAATTAGTGACAAATTGTTAGAGTCAATTTATGAATAAATGAATGAATGAATGGGATTGATTTAACAGTGGCATTTCTACAGAGTAGCTATTCACTGTAATTCCAATTGGGATTTAGGAGTTGATTTTTGTGGAGGGAGGAATTAAGTCGAAGAACCCGGAGAAAAACCCTCGAAGGACAGAAGAGAAAGAACAAACAACTCTACTCACATACGACACCGTGCTCAGCGGGACTCGAATCCGGATCGCATTGGTGAGAGGCGAGCGCTCTCACCGCTACGCCACCCGTGCTTCCCTATACAATTTTGGATACGGTTGTTCGAGAAATAACTGAAGCGACAACCAATGCTTGAAATAGTTGAGATTTTTTTCGTTGCTAGAGTTTATGAGATTTCTTTTTACAAAGCAATTTAAAAATAAAAAAACTGGAAGAGAATGGAACAAAAGTGGGCGAAAGACATATAATTTTCTTTTTTGCCTCATTATATTAAAGCACTCTTTCTGATAACCCTGATCAAGTACCATTAACGCACTTAATACCTTTAATCGACTTGGAAAAAAAATTATCTTAAAGACAGATGTCTAAGATATAAAGACAGTAATTCTGTATTTTCCATTAAAGAATGCACTATTAACCTTACCTGTAGCACTTAGGCTTAGCTTGAATGATAACTCAAATGAGTGCACGCAGCAACGGAAAAAACCTTTTCGTGTCGAAGGTTAGTATATTAAGGTTTTCTTTTATTTGTATAGACTAGATTTGAAAAACAATGATGTTTCAAGGGAATTTATTTCGAGAAGTCTTTAGTCACGCAATCGCCAAACAATGATTTCTGCATATTTAATGAGTCAAAATAAAAGCTCTCGCAAAAAGCGCACAATTATTTCCCCAAAATACAAAATAMATTTTTTTAAAGAGCAGTTTCCCAATAGTTGTTGACTGTAATCTCATAAGATTTGGAAGGATGGCACATAGGGAAACTCGCAGTTTTCGAGATGCACTGACGAGCATCGTAACTCAGTGCCCTTTGCTTTTCATTGTGTTAAATAATTCAAAGTTGTTCAATTTTTATAAAACTACTCATAATGAGCAAATAAGAGTTGTACTATTGGCAGAAAGAATTAGAAGGCTATTTGGATCAACAGTTTTGATACACGGATCAAGCGAAAGTAAGCAATTTTCAGCCATCTTTTGCAAGCGAAAATCGTCTCTAGAGCTCAAACCGATTTTTCCCTTTTTCTCGAAAACTAAAAATTAAGTATTTTTCAAAACTAACCACAGAGCGTTTCGTACTTCATCATACACTACTAAAATCCAAAAGTAGAGCGAATTCGAAAATTTGAGCCTTTCCGCCGTATGTTTRATTTTTACAGACAGTTGCTCTTAAGCCCCGTCCACACTATATGCCGGATAAATTTGAATCCGAATTTTTATTTATTCGGTTAGGCCTACCGTCCACACTAGTCCGGGCGAATCCGGAACAATTCGTCACCGAAAACGAATTTTTTCGAATACGGTCTCCAGAGTGGAACAATTTGAAAACGCCGACTAGCCGCACTAGTGTGGACGAAGAACATTTCGAACCCGAAATTTTTCGAATACGATGACGTCATGATTGTCATGGGAACATGGCGTGAAGGCTAAAAAATTCACCTCAGCAGATCAGTGCAATGAAGCGTTTTTGCCGCCTCTGATCGGACTAGTGTGGACGCGAAACATTTTATCCGTTTTCATGAGTGTGTGGACGGAAAACTTTTCTGCATCAAACATCAATTCAATCTTTATGTGACTTATGTGCAAAAAAGATTTGCAATCGGATAAAAACACGTTTATGCACCAGCGTTCCAAACGTGGAAGGTAGCGGTCAAGCGTGAGGGGGTCCAGACACCTTAATCGTAGTGGTAGAGTCCGCGCACGGTCAGGGGACTGGGTTTGGATGGCGGCCGCCATCTTAGCTGTTAGATCTCAAAAGAGCTGAACTAGCAGAGCTCTTGTGGCCGGCCTTATTATTACTTCAATAAATGAGATGAGAAATTTATTTGAGCCAAATCCAACTAGTCGGTCAAATATATAGATYCAAATAAGTTTTCAATTAAAGTTAAATCTTATGTTTTGGTTTTCAAAGCCGGCACTTAATAGTAGCTCATCCAATCAGAATGCAGCATTGATGATAGACCACTGGTTGGATTTGACTRATGGAGAATATTCTTGATCCACAGATTCCTAACTATGCATCCAGAACTAAAACAATATTTTACAGAATTCAAAAATATTGATATTGGTCACATCAATGGGACACACGGTCATCCAAAAAGACTATTGATGGCTATAGATAATGCAGTCACGGCTATGGGAGATTCAGAGAGCTTCTCTGCTTATTTAGTAGAACTTGGAAGACGCCATAACATGCCACATTTACGACCAAGTCACGTCCATGTAAGTTGTTCTTTCAAAAACCCAACCACGTCCATTTTCTTTTTTCTCCACTTGGCCACAAACAAGACAAAGGCTGAGCAAAGAGAACTCGAAACTAGATTTTTCCCCCCTTTGCAGCCATCAGTCTAATGTCCGTCCCAGGTCTTCCCGGCACGGGAAATCTGGGACCGAGAGTAATGACTGCTGGAAAAGAGGACACTGCATTGCATGATTCCGCCACAGGGAACCCGGCTTTCGGAACTTTAGATGTTTTTCTTTTAAAATTCTGAAATGGGTTTACTTTGCTCTTTATGGATTTCTCGTGGTTAGAGGTTTATGGTTTCATGTAATCAGATCTAGGCTGCAGGCTACTTCTCTTTATGGGTCGCCTGTGGTGTTTGGATGTCATMGATTTAAAACCACAGGAAACCCACAACAAGCAAAACTATTTCAAATTAATAATTCAACCATGCAGGCTCCAAAAGCCGGGTTCTACGCTAACCATATTGTATCATGTTTTCAGTTTAACGACCTACGCAAGTGTTTCCTCTCGGTCATTATGGAAGTTCTCGACAGTGCCACGTTTTGGAACAGTGAAGTCGAGAAAGCCTGGAACCAACTTTTTGACAGCATTGCCATCATGATGTTGAAAGGCTTAGAAATGTCTGAGGGTACGTAGCTAGCAAAGACTGTGATCTTTATATCTGTGTGAACAGCTATAGTGCAAGCATTATTTAGAGACCGCAACATAGCACTGCTAGCTGTTAGGTATCACTCGATACTTGAGGACCGACATGATCTACTCCGTCATCAGTTCTTGGAGATCATCGACATCCCATTTCTTGAATAATGAGGAATAATGAGGTTACCTCAACAAACTGAAAAATACACTTTTTTCCGTTTTCGCGCGACACAATAGCACGCTCTGTCTGCTCTGTCTGAAAGTTTGAAGGATCTGCGTACGTTGAGGTTGGTATCTTCAAACGTCATTTCCGGTCTATCTCGAGTTCAACTGCCGAATAGTGGCGAGTCTTCGAACAAACTTTACATGGATGATTTTCCTATCATTGTAGGCTGGTAGTCGGAGATTCATGAAATTCAATTCTTCAGATTAATACTAAGCAATATAATAGTTTGTTGCACGTTGATAGCACATGACGGGCAGGGCCTTTCTGTCGCTATGGGCTAGTAGTATCACGTGAAAGTTTAAGCCTTCGAGTGATCACTGCGCTAATATATAAAAGTACGAAAAGTCTTAATCGTACGATTCGAATTCATCGATACCCTAAATGACGTCTGGGCTGATCGATGTCAGGGTGAATCACACATCGAACGCTAAAACAACCTATGCGCTGACCTAAGTCAGGGTAAGTCAGGGCATGGCTAACTCTCGATGTCAGGGTGAATCACACATCGAACGCTAAAACAACCTATGCGCTGACCTAAGTCAGGGTAAGTCAGGGCATGGCTAACTCACAGATCGAACCTTGAAAAAAGTCTGGACTAATCTAAGTCATGCAGGGCATGGCTAACTCGCAGATACAACCCTGAAACAACCTCTGGGCTGATCTAAGTCAGGGTACGGCTATCTTACAGATCGAACCCTGAGACAACCTCTGGGCTGATCTAAGYCTGGACAAGGATGACTCACAGATCGAATAGAACGTTTTTATGGGCGTTTTTGACCTTGCACACTTTCTTTTGTTCAGTTCATTAGCACCAATAGTCTTTTCATTCTCACGAGGGAATACGAATGGAAATAAGAAAGAAAATTCGCCAAGCATTATGGTAGTGAGAGTCAAATGACGCCATCATGCAAACTTYCTATAGAGCGTTTTCACGTGACGTCACAGCGGCCATTATGGGGTACCAAAACAATACATTTTCTATCCTCCGGGAATTGAACTCTATTTTTATGCAAATGCTGTGCAGAAAAAAAGTTTCTATTGTTTTTGGCTGCCTTCTCACGTGAGTGAAAACGCTCTATTTAACTGCTTGATTAAAACTGTAAGGCCTAGGGCAAACGTCGAACTTTCCATGCACCAAACTTAATTACATCAAAGAATGTTTTTAATGAGTTCGGTGCATGGAAAGTTCGACATTTGCCCTACGCCTAAAAACCCTCAAATGAAGCCAGACACCTAAGAAAATCTATTCACACGAGATAATAATTCCAGGGATCGAACCCGGACACCCGAGGGGACTAAAATAACGATAGCGACTTCMCTCTGTTTAAAAAATTATAAACATACTCGTGGGGTTGTTCCGAATAGTAATATATTTCTCTCGTAATTCAATAATAAAATTGGTAAGTTCAATTATAGTATAGTGGTATAAAACTACAAACATTTTTGGTGCGTGCGCAGTATTATTGCGTCGCTTCTCGTATTTTCCACCCCGGCGTCCTATTACTTTTATTTCCCCCACTCGCTATTTTATTCCTAAAGCACCAGGACTCAACGCGCATGCACAATATCATATAGGCCTCTATCCAGCATTATCCGAAATTTAACAGATTTACTCCAGTTTCTTGCCTGTCCTCTTATCGACGATACATCGCGTCATCACATTGTCAAAGTAATTTGAAAATGTGACGACGCAATTTATCGTCAATAAGAGGACGGACAAAGGTCTGATGTAATTCTTTACAACAAAAACAAAAACGATAAATCTTCTGATCTCGTTTTTAGTGATCAAAGCAACCAACGGAAAGATCGCGCTTTTGTTGACGTCAGCTTATTTGTCTGTCCTCTTATGATAAAAAATAGCCAATCAGCGAGCGAGAAATTCGTACTTTGTAAAAAGATTATTGGCATCAGTTATTTACTACTACCAGAATCCCCTGCACACCTTCTTATTCAGTTTATTAAAATCGCGAAGGATTTTGGTAGTGGCAATCAAATGACGCCATCATGCAAACGGCCTATTCTATTCCATGACGAAAAACTTATATTCATCCAGTCAACTTTACGGTAGTCCTGAGTTAATTGGGGAACGCCTACCAAGTGAGAGTGTAATTATATAYACCATTTGTTTTGTATCTTACATCGTGGTTCTCAACTCAGCCATGTAAGGACCGAGTCTAGCTCTGAAACGCATGCGCATAAGCGCTTTTAAGCCAAATGACTCCACGTTACTACTGACCAGCATTAAAAACATTAAGCGCTGACCTGTAAAAACGCGGGCCAATTATGACCATTGCTTGGGGTTAATACGTCTTACTGCTTGAAACCCATTGCGATAAAAGGAGAATCATTCAATGAAAATGCGTCGCAACACCAAAGCAATTATAGACACAGCTACAAGCCACATCACTATTAAAGACGCCATGCCGGCATGCATCGAATGCTGTTGTACGGCAGCGTTTACAGTGGGCGCATGCGCCGGTTGGTTTTGAGGCCCCTGTTGGCTAGTAACAGTCCGCTGTCGAACACTTGATTCGGTGCTATTGGATACTGAGTTCTGATTGGTTGCTTCTTGATTCGATGGTTGATTAATATTAGCATCTGTACTCTGATTGGTTGATTGATTCTGATTAGCATTTTCAGTGAGTATTGGTTCGCCCACTGGTGCTTGACCTCCAAAGACTCCAGGGTAGTTGAAACCATAGGTCATGTAATACGGATTATAAGCCATGTATTGCTGTTGATAGCCCATCCATGGGTTAGACATGGGTATCTGGGTAGGGTAGATGGGAGGGGTAGCTCCAACATCATTGGTTCCTGTGTTGGGTGTTGATTGAGGTGATGTTGATATAGATGTACTAGTGTCTTCTTTCTTCTTGTCTTCTTCCTAAAACCATTAAATTACGAAATTTTAATAATCAAGGTTTGTGTAGTGGTAGTGAACTCAACCCTCACCTCTGGGGTCCCTGGGTTGGATTCCTGGACTCAGTACACACGTGAATAGACATTACAATAGAAGGTTTTTCTCTGGAATATCAGGTTTTCCTTCCTCCACAAAAACCATCATACTAAGGCCCTGGTTCAACGAGGAAACATGTTTCCAGAAACATGTTTAGCGCGCGCATGTTTCCTCGACGTTTCTTAGTTTAGCCACATGCGAAACATTGCTGCGTGCAACAAATTTTGCTTCCAAGACGCAAACATATTTTTTGCTGTGCGGCAGAAACATTTCATGTTTCCAAGACGCATGGAAACATTGTTTCCCGATGTTTCCTGGCAGTTTTGCCGCCTTAGGAAACATTTAGGGAAACATATTTCTGGAAACAAGTTTCCTCGTTTAGCCAGGGCCTAATACTGACATAGCACAATTTACCTTGAAAGCAATCTGCCCAGCTATTTCTGCTATTTCTTGTTCATCTTCCTTAGTTTTGGTTGAATCACCTGCATTAGACATAATAAAATAAGTATGAACATAACATGCAAGGTTCGTGCTGAGGTAGCCACTTAAAATTCAAGGACTATTCAAGGAGTATACAAGGACCCAAAAATGAAATTTCAAGGAGTGTGTTCAGCTAAATATGCCAAAGTTTTACACGGTGGTTGCACCTGGCCGACTTTCAGATTCTCCAGTCTTTCTGACTAGATCTATTTCAGAACCATGCAAGAAATTATCAAAGCAACAATTCAAGGAGTTTTCAAGGAGTTTCGCTAAAATCATAAAATTCAAGAGCTTTTCAAGTGCCCTTGATAACGTAAATTAAATTCAAGGAGTTTTCAACACGTGCAATGATTTGCTGGATAAAACTTTTGAGATATAACTTGCGTGCTCATTGGCTGGCTACCGTGTTTATATCAGGAAAGAAACATGCTTGTGCGAAATCATAAAATTGAAGTCACCAAAGAGTTCCAGATTTCCTACAACACTAGGCTACTCATACTTACTTCCTTCGTCCAATAGCGCATTACTGTTACAGGACCCGCAAACACTACACTTCCACTCAGCAGACCTGGGGATTAGTCATATCACTATATAAGAACCTCTTAGGGACGGACCATTAGATTTTGGGGGGGATTAGGTTGGGCAAAAACCCMAAAAAAAYTCGAGCACAGCTTTGAATAGTGAAAAAAAATCGTGCATAAGAAAAGTGCAAGAAAAAAATTCCAAATTGTTCAAAAGAAAATTTCTGCACATTCATGAGGCGTAAAAAATATTCCTGCACAAAATAAACTGCCCAACCCTAATCTAATGTTCTGTCCCTTGGAATAGGAAGGAAAACAAAGGAGGGAAGTGAACAGAAGGGGAGGGAAGTAGCGAATAAAATGGAAGGACAAAAACGAATAGGAAACAAAAAGAAAGTAGAGTAGGGAAAATGAAATGAAAATTAAAAAGAGAAACGTAGAAGAAAAGAAGAGGAAAAAGAAAATATAAGGAAAGGAACGAAGAGGAAATAGGAGAGAAGAGATAAGAGAGCAGAAGAGAAGAGATAGAGAAGAAGAGAGGAAAAGAGAAGAGAAGAGAAGAGAAGAGGAGAGAAGAGAAGAGAAGAGAAGAGGAGGGCAGAGGAAGGAAGGGACAAATGAAAAGAAAAAAATGAAGAGAGAAAAGGGGAAAAGGAAAGAAGAGAATAAATTCAAATGAAAAAGGCAGAAAAAGAAAAGAATTGTACAAGTTTTAAACACATACTTCTTTGCCAAAGCACTCCTTTCTTTTGGTGAGTAATCCAGTGCACCAATAGCACCTGCTCCTTTACTGGGCATGAATCCAATGATAGCCATCAGCACTGTACGGACTGTAGGGGTAACAAAAATCACAATACTGTCAGGGTGTTATTCAATGAGTAACAAACATCATTAGTTTATTGGACTACCTGTGGTATGAAAAAAATGCCTGACTCTATTCTATACCTTTTTTCTCTTCTCTCATGTGTGACAAAAATTGCGTAATAAAAAAATGAAAGTTGCAAACAAATTATATACAGTACCACAGGAAGCCCATCAAATATCTATTCGGCACAGTTCTATGCTTCAGAAGCCGGTTGTATAAAAGCCTAATAAGCACTAAGCGCTATCCACCAGGACCTAGTTGCATGATGGGTTGATAGCACTATCCAACAAATAAATCCTTATTTTATCCACTGGCTAAGAATCTATCCACCCAATGTACRACCGGGGACAGATAAATCCAAACAAAAAAATAAGTGTGTTTCCTGTTGCGCGACCGACCCTAATTTTCTTGCCGATTTTTGCCGACCCTAATATTTTTTTCATTCCCAAATGCACCACAGGGTTCCCAGTAAGCTCATTTCCACTGTTGTATCAGTAAAAAAAATCTGACCTACCAGCCCCAATTATTTTTCTCATGCAACAGGAAACACACTTATTTTTTGTTTAGCCTTATCCAGCGATGGCATGATTCTGTTGAACAAAGCTTGAGCACAAGTTATCCACCAGATTCAGTGTATTTGGTGGATATCTTATTTGGCTTCATACAAACAGCTCTAGTTCTACAACTAGTGCAATAACATGTTATACACTCAGAAAAAACTAAAATCAAACAAAGGCAAGCTTTAGCAAAATATATATGCCACAGGAAGCCCACTGAATAGAGGTTTTGCACCATCACATGATGGCAGCCAAGTTGGATGGTAGGAACAATACAATTATTTTACATGAGAAAGAATTAAATTTCCAAATAAAAGCAAAGGAATTTTATTTTTCTGCCATCTAACCACAGGCAGCCCAAGCTGTACTGGGGGCATGCACACATGATGGTAAAAAAGGTAAAGGTAAAGGTAATTTATTTTACTTCGATAACGCCGGGAGTGGTTGCCCCATTCTCCCGAGCCGAGGGCTAATGTTTAATGCGCTTGAAGGTGCGCCCTCTACCCCCTCTTACTATCAGTGACCCTTTTTATGGGTATTCAAAGCTAAAGTAAGCTACTCAGAACAGAGAAAAACCAAAAAAAGACAAAAATGAACCTCTAGCTCTGAAGGCCACGCTCTAACCAACTGAGCTACGACTACTCCTGTGCAAAACCTTTATACAAAGTATTATCGGTTTATCGCAGGACATCCTATTAAGCTTTTGATTTCAAAAAGAGCAGCTACTGCAAACATTGTACAGGGCATGAAATCCAGATAGCACTTACTGCTCCATGAAGGCTGCCATGTTTCAGGATGATGAGCTGACATGCTCAGGCATATCTTCTTTCCAATCTCAAACCGACCATTGGGCTGAAATAATATTTGAAAAATCTCATTATAAAGTGGTTCTTTAGAGGGGAAAGGTCTTATATAGGATACACTTCTTTCTTATCCAGTGAAAAGGAAAAAAATCAAGCTTGAATTAGATTACACATGGACACTTTACTAGGAATATTTGGTGAGAGGATACTGTGATAATGGTACTGTATATTAGTAAATTGGTACATTGTCCGTTGACTTGTTATTTTTTGAGGCTTAACTAGTCTTATCGTTAATAGCATGATACAGTACTGGGTGGCTCCGTGGGTACTTGGGTGGAAGGTTGATGTTGCCATGATAAATACCATAGATAGCAGGGTTGTCAATAAAATTTTTGGTAGGTGGTTATGAAATTGAAATCACGACTCACTCACACAAAATTTAAGATGGCAGACAACAATCATTGTAGTTTCGATTGTGTTGCAGTTTTCATAGTACAGCAACAAAGATTGCGTTAAAATTTATTTTATTCACGAATATTGGTAGTTTAAAGAACTCTAATCAAGATTTATGATTACATTGGGAAGTGGCCGAGTAGGCAGCTGAGTTAGTGAGAGAACTGGGAATTGGCTGTTATAGGCGGCTGAATTAGCAAGAGTAGACGGCAGAATCTGCCGGTTGCCGGCTTCTATTGACAATCTTGGATAGGTATTTATAACTTACTTACTGTTAATAGCATGATGCTGGGTGGGTGGCTTCATGGGTACTCGGGTGGGAGGGTAATGTGGCCATGGTACATACCATAGATGGGTATATTCATAAGTTACTTACTGTTAATAGCATGATACTGGGTGGCTTCATGGGGTACTCTGGTGGGAGGGTGATGCGGCCATGGTATCGCCCACCTGCAAATTCAGTATCGGGTGGACCTCGAACTGTGAAATGCCATTCAAATAGATTATCCTGGAAAAAATAAACTGCATTAGACACATTGCAATATATTGAAAATTAAGGGACAAGTCGCCTAAATTAGGCATTTACTGGGATACCTGTGGTCCTCTAACTATAGTCACACAGGGAGAATCAAAACAATAATGTTTCTACTTTGTATGCTCATAGTGTATTTAGTTAATAAATCTTTATAAACCTGGACAGTTTAAAAATATATTGTTTAATATTAGACTGGAAAGTTTAAGCATGGTTGGCATGGTGATTTGGGATTTGTGTCACGTACAATTTTAACAAGATTTTATTCTAATTTATTTTCAAATTTTAAGTTTCTTAATTCCACGAGAAGCATTTTGAAGGATGATAAAAAATGTTTTGTTCAAACAACGGCAAGATCCTGTTGTCTTGTCCTGGTATCTGCTAATCATTTTATCCATTTAGTGCTTGCGTCCCACCAATGTGACCAAAGTCTCCCAGTGCTCAGTGTTACATATGAGTAGAGTTGTTTGTTGGTTTTCTCCTGTGCTTCRAGGGTTTTCCATGTTCTCCCGTTTTCCTCCCTCCATAAAAATCAACTCTTGAATTCCAAATGGACTCTAGTGAAAGAAGAGCCACTCTGTGGAATCCACTATTCATACATTATTTATTTATTATTCATTTAGTCATCATCTTCTTACAGTTTTACCCCGGATATCTCATTGAATCCCTGTTATTTCTAACTTTTTCTCTGATTTCCAGGAGATTTAAGATAACAGGACTCCATTGTAGAATGAATATTAGTTGCATACTAGAGTACAAATACTAGACTGAACAAACCGTGAACATTAAATAGTACTAATTAGTACTATTTCATACAGAATCC